TGACTCCTTTGAATCGTCAAGTGGCTCGGCAGGTGCATATATCCCGACTCGCGCACAGTCCCTGGGGTAACATTTTTTTTGTGGAGGGGGCATGTTAGAAGATTGGAAACACGGGTGCTGGGGGGCATGTTAGGAGATTTAAACACTATGGTTCGCCAAAGCCGCCAGAGCTTCCCACAAAGAAGGCAAATGCACGAGCAAGAAAAAAATCAAAAAACATTGAAGTACTTAATGCAGCCAAACCATTTGTCGCCAACCTGTTTTTGACGGGACCGGTTGACGGCTAAATTCTACGCAGGAACGTGAGCATAGAAATTTGGTTTGAAAATCATTGAGCCTAAGTTGTTTGCTTTGCAGCTGGGTTTAGGACTGCGTTTTGCTGAGGCAGCTCCACTTGACTCAAGTTGGCCCTGTCCACCCCTGAAGCTCTGGTCCACGGTTTTCTAGCACAACCGAGGCAAGCCTCCAACTCACAGTGCCCTCGGTCGATGGCATTGGGCATATGACCGTGTCAGCAAAGCGGCCACGCTTACAGCATTACAATCCACATCAAAAGCAAATGCAATCTTATCTTTCGCCCTCCAAGAAGACCTTCTAGCTGCAAGGCACACACCAGTTCCTGCTCAGAGAAAGCCCTGAGCGGCCGTCCTGCAAATCACTATATAGCCTCAGGCCACACATTGTTGAGGCGAGCGGTCCCGTCAAAGAACGATGGAAAGTGAAAAGTTGGACTTTGCGAACCTGGGGGCAGGCCAGGATAAAAACTGTCAACAAGTCTGGGGATAGGCCAGCGTAAAGACTGTCATACCCACTGTCACCCTTCGCCGTCGACCGGATGTGCGCGGAAAAAGGTGTGGAAAAAACAAATTGTCACCCAACTGCACACACAAAAATACTCAACAAAGGGCCAGGTCATGCATACCGGGACAGAACACCAACAATGCACGACAAAGCGCTCCTCAACATTCAGCCGATGACTCCGTGCATTGCATCAGCCTCATTGCGAGGAGCCTCATACGTGTCCGCCCTGAACAGCTTATGTTATGCTGTAAACCAACGCATCCATTGATCTCTTGTCCGGCATGAAAAAATTGGCTGCACCTCGCAAGTGCGAGAGCCCTATGGCAGCACATGCCTGAGAGGTCAAGTTTGTTGAATTTGAGTGCGGGGCTTGCCCAGTAAAACATTGGCCCGTGAGCCTTGGAGCGCCAGTCCCATGACCAATTTATGGGCCCTTTGCATCATGATTCCGCCACTCACCGCGGTCCTCTGGCAAGGCTTGGGGCGGTACGAATACGGTGATTCAAATTGAAGGCGGCCAAGAAACCTAAAATTTTCACAAGCTGAATGGCCATGCTCAAACTGACGAAGCATGCATACACCCCACAACTCAGCCGTCATCCTTTCTGAGCCACTGTGTTAATGGAAACGTGCTATTTTGGTTGGCCACCCGTCCTGGGGCCATTCGTTTCAGCAGTTTTCGGGTTCCCACTCCCCTGGTCTCCCTCATGTTCCACGCCAATCCTTGCATGTGTTGTAACAGGTCAAATTATGCGGCTTGGCGGGTGCAAGTCAAGCAACGATCAGGCAGCAAACTTGCAATGTAACCTCACATTTTCTAACGTTGGCGGGCCGGAGGGCTTTGTCGAGTGCTCTAGCGCTGTATGATTGCAGCATTTCATTTTGGCAGAGCCCGCCTCGCGCTCGAACAAGGAGGGTTGGGGGAGTGCCCGTGCCCACACATCGTGCGACATGTGACATCTTGGACACGATCCAGCAACAAATCGCCAGAGCAATGCCTGCAGTATAACATCTCCCAGCATCTTCCCCAGCACTTTTAGAGTCCCGATCTGGGCCATTGGCGGCAAAGATTTTGACCTATTTTCCCTGTCTCCCATGAGCTTGGCTTGGGCTCCTCGCAAATCCGTGTCCTGCTGCCCAAACGTCTCCGGCTGCCACTGCCCTTGGCATCACGCTGACAGCCGTCAGACGTTCCCAAGAGCAAGAGCCTGGGGGTGAGAGGCCTTGGTTGGAACGAACTGCAAATCGAACCTGCAAAGAAACAGGGGCAATTGTTCCCACCAACATCCTAGTGGGGATTTGATACAACCGTCTCACCTCGTTGCCGCTGATCGCTGTTGACACTAACCTTGTGTCCCCCACAGGCCGCAATGCACAGGTGAAGCCCCACGCTGAGCTCGCCCTGCCAAGAACGGACGTCCCAGAATAGCTGGGAGTTGGTCGCTCTCGTCCCATCGTCCTTGGACGTGAGATCGGCGGGTGATGGAGCCAGGAACGCATACGTTCATCAACCGCCTAGCAAGACCCCCCCATACCTTCGCAAAGCTGCTACCAGCGCTTGGACTTTGAGGCGGGCAAGCAACTGCTACGCGATCCTTTGCCAGCAGCCTCCTTGCGCTTCCCGCGTCCGCCTCCACCAATGTGGACGGTCCATGCGCCCCCCTCTACGACATCTTGACTTTCTACACCGACAGGGGCCCCATTCCCAGCGGCTTGCCCCCGTCCAAAGAGCAGGGTTGCGCACAGTCACGCAAAAAGAGGGCGCGAACAAAAATAGACGATAGAAGTTAGACCCTGGATCAGCACAGTGGCGGGGCCACCAGACACCTCCAATCCCAACTGCCTAAAGGTGCAAGGGATGTTTTCAAGGAGGTCAACAACTCACACGCTTTGAGCAGAGAAATGTTACCTGGAAGACGCACTGTGTCGGAGCAGCCCAGCGGCTGATGCACATGGAAATGAAAGCCGTCAACGACCAGGCGAGACTGCCAAGGCACCCTACGACCTAGGACATCCTAGGACACTGCAGGGTGCTAGGTCCCAGTGTTTCACGTTGAGACTGAGAAAGTGCGCGAAAATGTAAAACCACGTTGACGTGTGACCAGCATGCCCGACGTGCCAGGCAATGCACACCACCAACCCGCAGGTGTTGGATCGAAGAATCGAAGGGCCACCTGCTTCCAACACTTGTGCAATGACAATGTGTGGGTGGTTGCCGAATATATTGTGACAGGACTTGGACAAGGACATGAGGACACATGTCTGGCGACGGGCCACTATAAAGACCGTCCCAAGTTTGCACCGTGAACTTTCGTTGCGGGAAAAAAACAGTCAGCCAAACACACTAGGTGAACCCAAAACATCCGCGGCCGACAAGGCCCAAGTGTTCGCTTTGAAAAGCGCTCCGCATCCTTTCATGGTAGCGGAGCCCTGGTCGTAAAGCACCGGGGCTCCGCTAACCACGGACTGGCACCACGAGCGCAACAAACCCCACGGCACCTTCATTCCCTGTCGCTACGACGCGGACTTCGAGGACGACCAAATCCAGGGGAGGAACCACGTTCACGGCCATTTGGCTGATCGAGCTGCTTATCCTTGCCGGTCATTGCAGTTGGTTGCGCAATTTCGTCACCTACTGGCAAAGGAGGAGGAGCTGCATTGACGAACGCAGCATCTGTAAAGATGGTAAGGTGGAGACACTGCCCGAGGGCAGCAGTGTTTGACCTTACCATACCTCGTGATGAAGGCAGTCAGAACTATCCATGGCGCGGCGTGGGCATGGTGAACCTCATTGGTGAGGACTATGAGATTGAGGAGTTTAATGACTTGGACAAGTTTGAGTACCCGACTGCTATGAACCGGCAGTCGAGGTGCCGAATGGAGTGATGGTTGTGGCCATGGACTCATAAACCTCAAAGATAATGAAGAGGAGATGGTTGCGAACATGGTGAGGATGAACTACGAGGAGGGCGATGAGAAGTGTTTGATCACTGTGGACACTGGAACTGATATCTCGGTCGTGCCTGGATCTTATGCAAGTGTCGGCGGCACTCGACAAGATGGACGAGATGATTTGAAGATGTTCGATGTCCAAGAATGAAAGATCGCTCATGATGGGGTTGCAATTGCAAAAATCAGGATGGTTGACAAAGCTGGCAAGCAGGTGGAACTGATCGAGGAATTCGTGCTGGGCAATGTACAACACCCCATGCTTTGTGCAGGCAAACTGCTCAGGCAAGGGTGGTGATTGGGCAATGTGGATGGAAACCTTCATTTGAGACATGAAGAACGTGCAGTTGACACCCCACTGAACACGGACCGAAACTCACTGCAGTGTGAGGCCAGGATTTTCGCAGTGCAGTCAGAGAATGTGGAGATCCAGAACCAGGACGTGGGAGGCGAGAGGACAGCACGAGTTTTGGCTCTGCAAGGCTATTTGAGCAAACATGTCCAAGAGAAATGACACCTGGATGGCACAGGTTGCCCAATGGAGTGGAGGTTTCCCAGTGGCGACTCAACTGATTGACTGATTTACCCCTTTGGCAGCATTGAGAAGGACTACAAGCCACGCATTACCCTCGTGAAGGGCAAAGACCGCCTTTGGACACAGTTGGAACATGAGGAGGACTTCCACCAGTTGGGGAGGAAGATTAGCCTGACGAGTGAGCCATGGGGGACATTGAGTGTCTTCTCCATCGCGAAGTTCGAGGACTACTGGGAGCAAGGGTCCGAAGTGCCGATTGCACCATACCCCCCTCAATCAGAGTCAGCCTTTGGCTATGTTGATTAGTCCGAAGATGAATGAGAAGACAAGGAGGACCTTGAAGCAGGAGGCCCAGGAGATGTTCCATGATGTGGAAAAGTGTCGGGACTCAGTCTAGGCACTCATGTAAGAGAAGGCACGCACAAATCAAGAAGTGTGTGCTCGTGACAAGTGGCCCGAAACAGCGAAACGGTGCGCGTTCAGCTTTGAGATGGTAGCGGAGCCCTACCCAGGGCGATGAAACTACTTTCCTATGTGCCATGGAGAGAAAGGCCATGTCCCTGATCCTGGGAGCATGGACCTGCAGGAAAAGACAAAGCTCGGAGGCTCCACAGGAAAGAATTCGACAGGTGTCGTATGGTGTGGTCACCGGACTGAGCTGGAAGGTGAGAAACTTGGTGTTTCGATTGGGTTTGAGGCCTGTGTTGGAGGTGAAATGATGGAGCGTGTTGAGCAAAGGTTCGGGCCCTGCGGTTGTCGAGCTTTGCAACATGGGTTTGAGGCTCATGGAAGACGAGTGCTAGAGGAGCATCAGCAGTGGGAAGGTAGTGAAGCTGGGTTTGAGGGTGAGTTGAAGATAGCTGGCAGTGGACAAGAGCAGAAGGGTGTAGGCAACATGAACTACACAGGTTGGAGTAAAGAGTTGGTGGCATGTTCGAGCACCGGTTTTGAGGACTTCAACAGGTTTGCTGCTCGCGGCCAGTGGTTCATGGACTATGTCATCCCGGCGTTGTGCTTGATGCAGAGGAGCAGTGCAGACAAAGCAATGTGTTGGCAGTTGATAGCAGTTGCAACCGCGGAGGACGAGAAGCAAGTTGTTCAGACATTGGTGCAAGCAGTGGCAGTGCAGAGTACATTGCTTGGCATTGGTGTGTGCAACATTGTGCTGCAGTTGGTACAACACATTGGGTTGAACGAACGCTGGTGTGCATGGTGGATTACAATCACAGTGTTGGTGATCACGAAAGGTAGCCTTCAGGGGATACCTTGAGTTTGTTTTGCGAAGCAAGTGTGGGCTCCTCCGGATCTAATAATTGATAGTTCAGTTCAACCCCCCCCTCTGACCGCTTCATCCCGAAGTGGATCACCTTGACACCTCTTATTTGGTGTCCCTCTGACCGCTTCGTCCCGAGGTGGATCACCTCGACACCTCGATGGTTACTTGGTGTTGGGCACTCGAAGCTTGGGGCAGTGTTTGAATCCATGCAGAGACATGATATGTTGTTTTTGGTACTTCTTGTCGTTGAGGACTATCATATAACTGTATATATGTTATGTATAGATCGAACATTGGTCTTTTCCCCCATTCTCAAGTTGACGTTTGATTCGACTCCACCAACAACACGCTGCATATTTTATTGAATGCAGTTGACGAAGTTGACAAAGAACTTATTTAATCGAAACGTATTTGTTTCAGTTTAGTGAAACAAACTTGATTCAATTCGAAGATGTTTCATTGCGTTCCTTGGAAGCTTGTATTCGGAATTTGTTCATGACACGTAGTCTCTGTTCAAGGGAGAGGTGGGTGGGACCTCTTTTAGTTTGCGCGTGTTGCTTTTGGGCAGTGGGGAGCCATGGACGAACCTGGACTTTCTGCTTGGCTTGAAGCCCTGCCTGCCGTTGTTGTTGAAGAAGCACCTCATGGAACAGACCGCGAAGCTGGCAATTCATCTGGTGAGGGCCAGCCACAAGAAGAGCCAATGTTGGCAGCCGACGAGGCTCCACTTGAAGTGAACTTTGAAGTTGGCGGCTTGCCTGGCGATGGGCAGGCACGTGGACGACAGGTGCTGGACAAAAGTCCGATCTTCACTGAGAAGGAGCGCGCAAACTATGAGAGGACAATCTTTGAGCAGAGCTTGACATCGATTGGCGCAGGGATGCCTGCCTTGCCATGGGAGCAGGGCATCTTCAAGGAGATTTTTGGAGAAGCAAAGTCGGACAACTTGCCCACGCTCGAGGACCTAGTCGCTTATCCAGCTGGAGCGGCCCCTGGATCGTCAGATGACGCAAGACTGAAAGTTGAGGTCACAGGTGTCACATCTTCTTTGCCTGGAGACATGCCGCTATATGCAAAGCATATCAAAGCGCTGTGTGACAGAGATTATGCAGCAACGTTAGATCTCACCTGGACTAAAGCTTTGGCAAGTTGGTTGATTGTTCTCGAGGACTGCAACTTCGAATCGTCAGTTGGTCACTACGTTCAGGAGAAGTTGCAGGCCATGGACAGGGAAGGTGCCTTGCTGTGCGTCAGAGATGCGTGCGGGGTGCGTTCACCCTCCACCGTGTTGAAGAGGGCTCGAGACTTGATCCTTTTCGTGAAGTGGTGCGAAAAGAATGACCTGCGGTGGTGGCCCATCAAGGAGCGGAACCTTCTCGACTACTTGCAGGGCAAGGAGGACGAGAAGCGTAGCAAGTTCATCGGCAAGAACCTCATCCATGCTTTAAAGTTCTTCAAGTACATCATTGGAGCAGAGTTCAACATCGAAGCTGTGCTGGGTCCAATGTTGACCGGGAAAGTGAGCAGAGTTCTGGCGACCAGAGACCCGACTGAACAAGCTAGGCCATTGACAGTGGCAGACCATTGACAGTGGCAGAGGTGTTGAGGCTTGAGGTCATGCTGGACACAGTCAAGAACAAGTATGACAAGTACTTCATCGGGTGCATCCTCTATGCCATCTACTCTCGTTCGAGATGGAGCGCCATGGCCAACATCCACCACTTCTTCTTCGATGTGATAGACACAAGTGATGGCCCCTTTGGATTCGTGGAAGCCAGAACCAGAATCCACAAAACTTCGACCACTGCAGAAAGGAAAGCGATGTACATGCCGTATGTGGCCTCAGTGAATGGCATAGGCAGCGGCAGTTGGGGCCTTAAGTGGAAAGTCGTTCTGGAGGAACTTGGGCTGCTTGAGCTGGGACCGCCTCATGGTCCAATCTGCAGAGCTCCTACGGTTGACGGTGGCTTCACCAAAAGGTTTGGGCAGCGCGATACGGCTTGAGCGAGCCAGTACGCGGTTTGTTGGGGCATCATTCTCTGAAAGAGAATAGTGTGGCATGCTACAGTCGGGACATGTTGAGCCAGCCCATGCGTGAGCTTTGCGCCATGGTCTGCAACATCAAGCTTGGGAACTTCGTACCAGACGGGACGCGCTCTGGGTGGATGGTGCGAAAACAGGCACCGTTGTTTGAGCCACATGCACCTGGTGACGATGAGGCAGATTACTTTGGGAGTCCGTCGGCTCTGGAGGGTGAGAAAGATGTTTCTGCCGACACCGGCTTTGACCCGAACAACCCCTTCGGAGAGCCTGAACGATCTGGCAACGCTGAAGAGCACAACGAAGAGCCAGAAGAAGGTGCTCGAGATGACGGAGACGAAGATGGCGAAGACTTCGTGGAGAGCGCCAGTGAGAGTGAAGATTCGAGCGCAAGTTCCGACAACGAAGAAGAGCTGCACAAAGAGAAGGCCAGCGTCATCGAGAGCGGCTTGGAGCCAGAGGTAAAAGGGCCTTTGATGCAGAACAAGAGGAGCTGCATGCTGCACACGCAGAACCCTGACCCGAAGAACCATTTGCAGCCTGTTACGTCATGTGGACTCCATGGCATCGGTTTCACCGTCTTGGCTGAGGGGTCGATCTTTAGCTGGCCCAAATGCAGCAAGTGTTTCAAAGATGCTGACAACAAGTCGGTGATAGATGTAGTCAACGCCAGCAAGCGTCGGCGTATCTGAAGGCAGCAGGCTTTACCTAAGAAAGCGACTCAAAATGTAGAGAGTTGAGCTAGAGGTGAATGAACTTGCATCAGTGGAGCGTTTCGCTGAGTTGCCGCCGCATTCGACGTGAGGTCACTAGAACGGCAAGCATGACGTTTGTTTGGGTGACATGAGGTCCTGTTTCTTTTGACAAGAGGTCGCAGTGTTTTCTTTGTTTGACGTAGCTTGGGCCACGAGGGCAAATCCTCTTGAGGAGCCCGGTTCGGTTCGATTCGCGCCATGAGGGCCCCTGAGTTGTCTCAATTTCTGCTTTGATGATCGTGGCCATGAGGGCTCAGCAACGATCCCGCCTTGAGGGCTCTGTGATTTCAAGGAGACGTGAATTCAATGACATGTTCTAGGAACGCTTCATGTGTTTTCATGTGCTACAACAATTTGTTTTCTTGAAGCTCGCACGCCTTTCCTCGATCATGGCGGCAGCTACCAACCTCACGGAGAGCACTGCAGCGTTTGAAAAGCAGGCCGCGAACTTGGGGCTGGAAGATGGTTGGATTCAAGCTTTGAAGAATGCCGGGGTCACAACATTGGGGCGGTTGGCCTTCAGTTGTGGTCAGCCTGGGACGCCAGTCAACGAACAAGACGTTCGCAACCTGATGACGGCAAGTGACCCTGGTGGCAGGATTACGGTTGGGGACCTTGCAACAATGAGGAGGTTGATCTTCGAAGCACAAACTGCCGTAGTTGCCTTGGCCAGATCTCAAGCCGACCCGAATGCTGATCCAACCTTGAGGAAAATGCCACCGGCAGAACGGAGCTCACGCATCGCCAATCAACGTGTGAGGCTCCAAGGATTGTCAATGGAAGGGAACATGGAGGTGGCTCACCAGGTCTATGACCAGCTGAATGGAATGATGGAGGCTGACACCTTGAAGTACCTGGCACCGTCGAAGTGCATCACGCGGATGCAAGAGATCACTTCAGCAAAGCCACCCAAAGAGTTGAAGCTGGACACCAGTGGCACTGGAATTACGGTCAAAGACTCAATTACAGAGCAGCAATGCTCAACTGGCACAGAACTGGACCTGTTGGAGGCCATGATGCGCCGGAGCCTTGCCTTTGATGCAATGGGTTTGGTCGACTTTCACATCTTCCAGAAATGGATTCAATACCTCTTCAACTTGATGCGTCAGCCTCCGCCGCCAAACTTCAAGGCACCCACGTTGACACAGTTGCTCAGGGCAGACCGTCAAGCATTTGTTCGACTTCAGGAGTTGAGCCGCGACGGCATCAAACCCCACGCAGATGGGACTCGGCCTTTGGACGCTTTGATCGACAACCTCCCCAAGGACCACACAGTCGTGTACTACATGCTGCCCACAGCCCAGGAGAAGACGCGCCCAAAGCCTGCGAAGCCGGCAACGCAGAAAACAGAAACTGCGTCATGGAAGAACTGGAGCAACGAAAAGAGTTCTTCATGGAAGAGTGCAAAGCAGACACAATGGAAGAAGGGCAGCGGCAAAACTGGTGGATCCGGGAAGTTGCCCTACCAGTTGAAGAATTGTGCCTCGGCCACGCCAGAAGGCAAACGGTTGTGCTTCGCCTACAACATCGATGGTTGTGACAAGGCAGCAGCAGGCGACTCGTGCGAAAAGGGCGTGCACGTGTGTGCCACGAAGGGGTGCTTTGGCAACCACCCCCACTACTCGTGCCCCAAGAAGTGACAGAAAGGGTGGGCTGGGGACGAGCCCAAGCATGATGTCGTCCCGAGAATTCAATGCAAAGTTTCTCCTGCTGACGAAGATCAACAAGGAGCACAGATCTCATCTTCTGCTGCAGATGTCTGTCAAAGCAGTTTCCAAAGCAGAGGATCAGCAGAGTTTCACAAAGAAGAACATGATGGCTGCCACCACCATACAGTTCCTATACAAGGTGGCGAGATACAAGAGACCAGGCCGTTCTGCATCGAATTTTGCTCCGGTACAGGTGGCCTAACGGCCCAACTGCGAGCGCTTGGCTTGACCTCCAGCTATGGAGTCGATCGAGTCGTGAAACCAAGATCCAAGTGCCCCATCGTCAAGGTTGACCTCACAACTCCACATGGCGAAGCACTTGCCAAGAGCTGGTTATCGAATCCACTCTGTGCTTACGCGCATTGGGGCATCCCTTGCGGTACTGCATCTCGGGCTCGCGAGATCGACCTCAACGATGGAGAATATCAGCCACAGCCCTTGAGGAATGATGCATACCCTGAAGGTCTCCCATGGCTGACAGGAGACGATGCAGAACGAGTTCGGCTAGCAAACAAAGTGTACGAGGTCTCTTGTCGCTTGATTCTGTTTTGCCACTTCAACAACATCAGATGGTCGCTAGAACAACCAGAGCGATCCATTTTCTGGCTGACCAAATTTTGGAGAATGGTTTTGCAGCATCTCACGCCCATCTACGTCGTGTTCAGTGCCTGCGTGTACGGTGGCAGCCGACCCAAAAGAACTGCGATCGCCACCGACATCAAAGAGCTGCAGGAGTTGGCATGTGACTGCACTGGAAATCACAAACACTTGCCATGGGGCCGAACAAAAACAGGCTTCGCGACAGCTGCGGAGGTTGAATACCCGTTGGAGTTATGCAAAGCTTGGGCAGCGGCCGTTTTCCGTAGCATCTCCAAACAGTTCGACCTTGAGCAGTCCGTCCTGCCGGCGCATCCCGACAAGAAAGCCAGGGCAAGTACAGTCAAACAAACTCGTAAGTCCCTGGCATTTATGCAAGATTACAGCCATGTTGAAACAGCACGTTTCCAGAGAGCACCAAAGTTTCGTGTTGGCTCCAAGCTGCCTGCCACCCTTGGCGCCGACGATGCCACCTTGCCAGCATATGCCCGCATCCTCCGCATCTCCCAGATCCCTTCTCACCAAGACGGGGGGAAGAGCAGTGAGAAGGCAACCATGTTTGAAGTGGCATTTGGCGTTCCATGGAGTGAAGAAGCATTCATCAAAGAAGCGCTACTCAGGGGGCACCCAGTGCACCTGTTCGAGAGTTTGCACTCCAACCTCTCCAATGCCATTCGTAGCAATGTGAACGAAAAGCCCGAAAAGATCGTGACCGACAGAGCAGCATGGTTCAAGAAATGGACTCGTAGAGCGCTGGAGCTCAGAAAACAAGAAGCAGACCTGCACAAGAAGATGCCTAGCCATAGAAGACAGATCCTCGAAGGAAAAAGGATCTTGCTGCTCAGGGAGATCATTGAGGACATGAACTACCCGGACCCCGGCATTGTGGATCTCATCGAGAAGGGGTTTGATTTGGTTGGCGAGGCAGGAGGAGGGCTCGTTCTGCCCAGAGATTTTGAGCCAGCGACCATGTCCATCCAGGACCTTGCCGACCATGCCAAAAGTAGCAACGAGGCCATCTTTCATTCCACCAAGTCCAGTGGCGACAGTGAGGTCGACGAAGAACTATGGAAGAAGACTTGCGAGGAGGTGGAAAAGGGCTGGCTCTCACGCCTTCCACTCTCTGAGGTGCCCCATGGCCGTCTGTCTCGGAGGTTCGCAGTCGTTCAAGGAGGCAAAGTTCGACCCATCGACAACTACTCTGAGAGCCAAGTCAATGATGCCGTCAACGTCACAAGCAAGTGCACGGTGGACGGAACGGATTGCATCGCTGCCATGATTGCCGAGTACATGCGCCTGTGCGAGGTCAAGTCTGTGAACCCCGAGTTGCTTGGCAGAAGTTTCGACTTGAAGAGTGCATACCGGCAGCTGGCGGTCTCAGACTCTTCTTTGAAGTGGGCACGGCTGGCCGTCTACAACCCGAGCCTCAAGATCACCGAGGTGTTTCAGCAGCACTCTTTGCCGTTCGGCGCCAAGGCGTCTGTGATTGGATTTCTCAGATGCGCCAGGCTGGTCCAGTGGCTCGCTCACTCCTTGAGCATCATGGTCACGTGTTACTTCGATGACTACGTTTGCGTGGCCCCAGCAACTTAGCCAGGAACACAGACCAGTCGTTCTGCCTCTTGCTGGACCTGTTGGGATGGAGATATGACGTGAGTGGCGAGAAGTCTGACAGCATGAGCCACGAGATCTCCGCGCTGGGGGTGATGGTTGATCTTTCCGAGACCTCAGAGGGTAGAGTCATGGTTCGCAACACGGAGAAGCGGAAGCAGGACCTCTCGAACCAGATCGATCGTGCCCTGTCGAGCCGAAGGTTGACCACTCATGAAGCAACTTCTCTCAAAGGCCGCTTGGGATTCGCAGAAGGTCAACTTTTTGGACGGGCGACCAAGCGATTGATCAATGTTCTTGGCCAGCATGTGTTGCGCCCTCCGAAACGTGGAGTACTGAGCGATGAAACGGTGAGCGCCATGCTTCAAGTCAAGGGACGGTTGTTGAATGCCCAGCCTCGTCTCGTGAAAGCTGATGTGGGAGACGTTTTCTTCTTGTTCACGGACGCTTGCTTCGACTGTGAAGCCAAAGAGGGTGGTGTCGGTGGAGTGTTGATCGACCAGACTGGTTGTGTAGTGAGCTGGTTTGGTGGAGAAGCAAGCCGCGACTCTTGTGAATCCTTCATGGCTGAGGATCAGGAGCAGGCGATTGGAGAACTTGAAGCCTTTGTTGTCCTAGTCGCCTTCCGAGTGTGGCAGGACCTGGTGCGGTCCAAACATTTGTTGTGTTTCATCGACAATGAAACCGCAAGGTATTTGATTTTGAAGGGGTATTCCAAGAACCCGGTTCTTTGCAACATCGTGCACCACCTCGCCAAAGTCGAAGAGGAGTTGTTCGTTTTGCCATGGTACGCTAGAGTGCCTTCAGAGTGCAACATAGCTGATCCACCATCAAGATCGGTGCCTCACGAATTGTTGCCGGAAACCTCAAGGGTTCCTATGCCAGACTTGAGGTCAGTGCTGGATGAAGCGAGCAAGCCTTTGAGCGCCTCCTGAAGAATGGGGGGAAGAGGGAGGCCGATCATGAGACAAGACTGGATCTCCCCGATGCTGTCTAAAAGCGCTGAAGGAGTCAGCAGAGCGAGAGAGTGCAGTTTGATGTTAGCATGTGTGATAAATCTGAGAATTGAATTGTGCAGATTAAATAATGAATGCAGTTGACGAAGTTGACAAAGAACTTATTTAATCGAAACGTATTTGTTTCAGTTTAGTGAAACAAACTTGATTCAATTCGAAGATGTTTCAATGCGTTCCTTGGAAGCTTGTATTCGGAATTTGTTCATGACACGTAGTCTCTGTTCAAGGGAGAGGTGGGTGGGACCTCTTTTAGTTTGCGCGTGTTGCTTTTGGCCCGCCCTCCACCCTATGGAGCAACTCGTTGCTCATTTGCACCTGCTTCAACGCTACGTGATCTTCCGCGAGAAGGTTCGCACCGCTCTCATGTCCATCGATGACGTTTTGGACAACATTGACACCCACAATCTGAATCCGCAATGGACACAGCGAATGTCCGTGACAAGGGAAACCCTAGTCACGTTGGATCGTGAATTGACGCAAACGATTGCTTTTACCTTTACCAATGCACAGCGTGTTCTTGAGAATACCACTGAAAGGTGGAACTGGTCCTAAGGAAGTTGATATCTTCCATGATTTGTACCATACAGCCTAACCCTGCCGTAGGAAGAGGGAGGCCGATCATGAGACAAGACTGGATCTCCCCGATGCTGTCTAAAAGCGCTGAAGGAGTCAGCAGAGCGAGAGAGTGCAGTTTGATGTTAGCATGTGTGATAAATCTGAGAATTGAAGTGTGCAGATAAAATAAACGCTTATTTTCCTCCCGCTGTCCTACCTTTCGTGTATCCCTCTTCTCAAGTCTGTTTGGCGGTATCGGGAGAACACTGCAACCCGATCAGACGAATGCAGGCTGCACGGATCAGGAAGAAAGGACTTCGACAACTACAGACATTGGTCATGTTGACTTTGTTGCAAGGAGGTTGTGCCATGCAAGGAGAAGGCAATCCAGTGGTTGCTCAACAGCTGATGGAGCAGATGGCAAGTTTGGCAATGGCTGCAACTCGGGCAGCCACAGCGGCTGAGAGTGCCTTGGCGGCTACAGCTGGAGGTGCTAGCAGCTCATCCTCCGTGGGCTACAAGCTGCAAGCAGAGTTTTGAAGGACCCTGATACCTTCGATGGAAGCGATCCCCACAACTTCATGAGCTGGAAGGTCGTGTTCACTTCATGGTTGAATTTTTGTGAGCCCAAATTCCAGAAGATTCTAGAGAAGATTGAGGAGATGGCAGACATGCCAACAATGTCAGGCTACAGCACAGAAGAGCAAGGTCTGTCCAAGTTATAAGGTTGTGGAAACAACTTCACCAGGAGTTTTTGCCGTCGACAAGGTCACGAAGCCTAGCTTTGGCCCTCGCTGGCTATCCAAGCTTTCCCAAAGAGAAATCGGTGTTGGAATGCATATTGAACTATGAAGAGTAGGTGGCCCAATTCGGAGAACTCTCAGGTGCAGACTATCCAGATGAGTTGAAGTCGGCGACATTGATTCGCGGTGCAGAGGCCTCAGTTCGACAGCATTTGCAGTTGACAATCAGGGACAGCGCAACATACAACGAGATTAAGCATGCAATTCTGTCGCACGAGAAGGCTAGCAAGACATGGAGTGAGGACAGCCTTTTGAAGTCCGTGAGCATCAATGGACCAGGAGATCCTTTACCATCGAGTGGACCTATGCCCATGGACATTGACCGCATTGAAGACAAAGGCAAGAGCAAAGGCAAGGGCAAGTTCAAAGGAAAGGCCAAGTCTTGGTGGAATGCTTTTCCATTTGGAGGAAAAGGTCCAGGCCGAGGAAAAGGAAGAGGATTTGGCCGTGGTAAAGGCAAAGGCGCACAGAAAGAAAAGAAAGGTCAGAAGGGCAAAGGACAGACAAAGAATGGCAAGGGCAAAGCGTTGGATCAGAATCAGTGCAGGGTGTGTCATGTGGGTTTGGGCATTGGTCACGTGATTGTCCTCAACGAGTTCAGCAAGTGACTGAGTTAAACTATCCTGCATTGATGCAGACTGCAATCCAAGTTCCAGTGCAACCAAGACCTTCAGTTACAGGTTCAGTGGCGGGTGGACAAACAGCATCGACTAGCAGCACACTGAACGCGGCAGTCAGACGCATCTTTCACATAGGTCCTGTATCAGAGACTTCATATGCACCTTCGACCATTCAAGCCCCTTCGACTGTTCAGGTGATCATCCAAGAGATTCCCGAGGCCAGTGTAGAGGAAGAGCAGTGCAGGCAGGAACATCATCATTTTAGACAGCGGTTCAGATGTTTCATTGCTTCCCATGAGTTTTGCAGGCAGTACAACAGAGATGACAAGTGTTCGCTTGCAAGACTGTCAAGGAATGCCAGTTGAGACAGCAGGACAGAAAGAGGCAACATTGGTTGTGTGTGACATGACATGATGTCAGGACAAGACATTGAGTTGCATCACAGGTTTCTGGTTGGCAACGTTCGCACTTGTGCATTTTTTCTCTTGGAGAGCTGTACAAGAATGGTTGGACAGTGAGTCAAGAAGGTGGCAACCCGTGCTTGTACCACCTTCAGGTGATGCCAAGACCCCAGCCTTCTTCCAAACAAATTCTCTGGCTAAAGAAGCTGCGGTGTTTCGCATTGAGAGTGAAGTGCAAGACCATGAATGAGGTTAGAGCAGTTGTGCGTGTGAGTCAGTTCCACAGTGAGAAGCGCTTTGGAGCATGGGACGTTGAAGCTGGCCATCCCTTCATGAGGATCCTAGGCAGTCACTTCGTGGACCCAGGAGCTGTTTGGGGTGCCAACTTTCAGTTTCGCACAACTTTAATTCAGCGAGTGACAGAGGCAGCAGATGTTTGGCAGGTTGCAGAACTGTCAAGAAGATTTTAAAGATGGAAGATCCTTTTTGTCGAATCCCTGATGTACCTGCAGGTGAGCAGTACCTCTTCCTGACACCTAGTAGCTCATGTTGAAGAGAGAGCACGAATTGCCTTGGATGAAGGTCGTTGTCCTCCGTGCTTGCAGAGGTCGTCCCTGCAAAGGCCGTGTTTGTCGCTTGATGGACTACAACCAAAGTACAAGTCCCAGTGGCGAGCTGGCGTTTGGCTTGGCAAAGACCATGCTGATCAAGATGCGATCATGGTCAGCCCAGAAGAAGTTGTCCGGCGCAAAGCAGTTCGCAAGAGCGGAGAGCACTGGAACGGACAGATGATCGTAGATGCCAAAGTCGGCCCATGGGACATGAAGAGATGAGTCAGAACAAAGCTTGAGGCCAAGTCCATCAGTTCACCAATACCAGAACTGATTGATGAAGGAGGTACAAAGACTCCAAGGTCAAGATGAAAGCCGTGAAAAGACCGCTGCAGAAAGTCCAACAACAAGGACTACACCTGAAAGGCCTACCAAAGACCTCGATGCGGAAAAGGTGATGAAGTATGCCCAGGAGCATCCAAATGATGAAGAAGAAGATAAGGATGTTCAGGCAGGCGGGGCATCCAATGCCACAGAAGAAACACAAACAACACAAGCGTCGGCAGCGGCAGAAGCAACCGCAGTTGACCACAAACGAACAGCAAAGGATGAGAGTGCAGGCCCAGGAAGTAGAAGGAAGGTTGAGCATGAAAGAACAAAGCGTAAGAGTGATGAAGGTGAAGAGACAGGTCCAGCGAAGCAAGTCAGGTTCGATCCTGATACACAGGTTCCAGAATCAAGTCAGAAGGTCGCCAAGAAGACAGATTCATCCACAGCAACTTCATCGACCGCAAGACCTACAGAATCTCCTGAGATGAAGCAGAAAGGCACAGTGAGGAGAGTGGTGGAGAAGGTTGAGCTCTATGACGAGGATGAAGATCCAGAAGAAGCTTTTGGCTGGACGAAGACTCAGTTGAATGGACAGAGTCAAAGTATGGAGGCATTTGCATCAGTGACGATGAGAAGAGGATGAGAGGTTTCTTCGATGAAGGTGCAGGTCCTCCAGATGTCAGTCCAGAGGAGCTAAAGGAGCTCGACAGAGAGGCAATGCTGAGAGAGCTAGAAGTGCTTGAAGATTTGCCCGTGAACTTGATACTTGCATTGTCTACGACTGCAGATTCCGTGCTGATGGAGACCAAGAATTAAGGTGGACTAGAAGGGCAAGGTTGGTGGCTCTAGAGTTCAGAACATCAGGAAGCACAGAAGAGACAAGCCCTCTGATTTTCATCAAGGCTTTGATTTCGTTGGCCGTGATCCAGAGGTTGCTCGTGTCAGTTTTTGGCGTGTCTGATGCTTTCTTGATGGTGAGCCAGAAGAGTTATGTTGTCGTTCAAGTTCCAAAGTGGGTTCAAGAGATCCTACAGAGTCCCAAGTTGCACTTCTGGAAACTCAAGAAGTGTTTGCCAGATCAGAGGTCAGCAGCTCTGGAATGGAATCAATTCTTTTCAGGGTTGCGTGCTGAGTTCAACTACGAAGCCTACCAAGGGGGTACGCTGTTCAGGCACAAAGAAGACAACAGCTACCTTTCAGCGCACATTGACAACATCCTGTTGATTGGTCCAGAAGGAGCGCATGAAGCTTTCCTCAAACACTTCAGCAAGATCCTCAAGTTGAAGGCAGAAGGACCTCGCGGAGTTGACAAGCCAGGAGTTGTGTACTACCTGAAACGACAGCTCAGCTTCGACAGCACTGTCGAGATCACAATCAGTGCCAAGTACATCCCAAAGCTGATTGCATCTGACCATGCAGGCAACAAGAAGGATAGAAAGTCTACGACCTCCGTGCAGTTGTTCTTGGACGGCAACCTCATTGACAGCAAAGTGAGAAGCCAAAAGGCCATTGCCCTATCCTAGCGAGTTCTTGGCCTCGCTATCCAGAAGGGATGCTGGTCAGACACCTGTGGAACCAGATCACAGGTGGATCATGCAAGACCAAAGTCACGTCTGACCACTCTGCTGCCCGCGGCATGACACAGAGGCAGGGCGTCAG